GGAATAAAATCAAAGGGATTTATTAGCGAGTGACACCCACACGCTGACAAGTTAGCGAGCAGCCTGCTCACTATTATAAATTTATCATAACTGAAATCTGCAGGTGGATGGCAGCAAGTGGATGTTTTTTTGTGACACAAAGTTCCACATTCTGATGTTAGAAAAATAAATCTAAAAAAGTTACACAAAGCATTTTCAAATATCTTTGAATATTGATAATGGTATATACAGTACACGTCAAAAGTTTGGACACATCTACCTATAGAAAGGTTAATTGTATTATTTTCTACATTTTAGAATACTTATAAAGACATCAAATCTATAAAATACCATATATGGAATTATGCACTGACCAAAAAAATTATTTGTTAGGGGGGCAGCTCTGTAGGTTGGGAAGGTTGCTGGTTCAAATCCCAGGATCGGCAGAGTGATCCCACCATTGGGCCTTAGAGCAAGACCTTTAACCCCAATTGTTCCATGGTCTCCTCTACGACAGTTTCATAAGGTGGCCTCCTTGGATACTTTTCCAGCTGTCCTGAAGGAGTTCCCACATATATACTGAGCACTCATTGGCTGCTTTTCCTTCACACTCTGGTTAATCTCCTCCAAAACCCTTTCTACTGTGTTTAGGTCAGGTGGCCAGGTCATGTGACATTACACTATCACTCCTTTGTAGGCGGTTTCACATGGTACTGCATATACACACTCACATACCCACACATTTACATTAGACTTAAGCATAGCGCTAGGGTTGCATTATGGTTAGTATTAGACTTGGAACTAGGTTGCATTGTACTTAGGGCTAAGGTTGGTATTTGTATTAGACACCTTGTTGGCCAGGCTCATCGGAAGAAATTTTCATATTTGTCAATGGCATCGATGACCTTAAGATTTTATCAGCTGTCATGTTGACATCATCGTGCATCCCTAATTCAGGGCTTGAAATTCATTTCACAATGGGGGAGAATTCCCCCTACTTGTGTAGCACATAGACATAGGGAATTTAAGATTTTTGGTGAGAAAGCAATAACAAACCTTCATGGATTCAGTAGCATCAGCCATGGCATTTTTAATGGAATTCGCTTCCCTTGGAAAATACTGTTTTCATGTCTAATTTCAACTTTTATTTTCTCAAGATTTTATTATTTTGTGATCTCCAGAAAATAACCTGTAATGTAGAGATCATGGGAAAAATAAGTTGTGATCTCGACAAAACAAAGAAAAAAATATAATGATGGATGTCCTTTATGGACATCAGTATGATGCAGAGTGAAAAGATACTTACAAAGCAGTTGTGTGTTCACATGAATGGGTCATGTTAAAAGACCCTTGCTTTATAATATTCTTTAAGTTGATCCAAACCCTGACTCAAAAACCATGATCTGACCCAACCCATGAGTTTTGTGATCCATTGCACCCCTAACAGTTAGGGTTGGCGTAAGGGTTATACGTAAATTTAGGATTAGTTTAGCTTTAGGTGTAAAATTAGATTTTTGGATTTCAGTGAGCTAGGCCTAGGGCAAGGGTTTGTATTAAGGATTTGGCTAAGGTTAGGGTTCTGGTTGGTTTTACGGTTAGGATTGTAATTAGTTTAGGGTTTAGTCACCTAGGGCCAGTTTCCCGAACTAGGATTAAGACTAGTCTTGGACTAAATTGCTGTTTCAATGGAGATTCACCATTGTAACTCAAAGCTAGTCTAGGCTTAGGCTTAATCCTTGACTGGGAAACTGGCCAATAGTGTTTGAGTTGTGGCTGGCATATGGATTAAGCCTATGGCGAACATTATTGTTTCCATTATGACTGCAGTTAGACAAATGATTATGCCTTGGGTTAGCATTGGCAGTAGGGTTATGGATAGAGTTTAGAGTTTAGAGTTAGATTTGCCATTACTACAGTTTGGGTGTGGGTTAGGTGTAGACCTAGAGTTAGAGTTGGTATTAGTGTTAGGCCTAAATTTAGGATTAGGGTTAGCATTTTAGTTAGTCTAGGCTAAGGATTAGACTTGAGGCTATGGTTATAGAGTTAGCATCAGGATTAGGGTTAGTTTTATGCATTGGAATATAGTCAGGTTTAGCATTAGGTTCAGGCCTAGGTTTAGGGTTTCCACAGGCTAGAAAAAACATTTTAGCCAGAAATTTTATATAAAGAAAAAAAACTAAAACATAAGTACATACTAGTGATGCGCGGGTCGACCCGTGACCCGCGGGTGCCGGTGGTTTTAGGGCAGACATTTTTTAAATATCGTGGGTGCGGGCGGGTGAAAAAGTTACAAAAGGCATTTCATTTTCGATCAAAACGCGTTGTAAACGGGGTCGGCGTATAAATGCAGTCGGCGTATATTTTTCAATTTTGCAGTTTTTAATTTGTAGGATAATTAAGCTATTAGTTTGGTATGCTCTGCTCTACTTCATTTTAGACAAAATTAAAAGACCTAAGTTCTACTAAGTTCATTCAAATCTGATAGAGTTCTGATGTTACATCAGATGTTACAGTTTTGACAACTAGTGTGTTTTGCATACATGCGCGCTTGTGTGTGTGCGACAGAGATGACTTTCGTGCAATTTTCCGCAACCCTTCTATAAATAACGACGTAAAAATCGATCTTTCGGTTTCTTTGTTGTAGCTTGGTACACAGTTAATCTCGCATAAAATTGTGTCATCTTCAATCAGGGGTCATGGAAAACCTGGAAGTTTTGGAATTTTGAAATAATTTTTCCAGGCCCTGGATAAGTTTAGGAATTATTGGATAGAGAGGAAAAGTTATGGAAAAGTTTTGGAAACTAGCCTTGTTTATTTTTGTTTCCCGCTTCGTTCCGCAACGCCTTAACAGAAATGTACGAGTGGAAGTCAGTAGTTAAGTACCTTGGTAAACATCCGTTTCCGCGCAGATTACACGTATTTCAGATCGCTGCTTTATTGCTCGCTATTCCGGTTTTTATGGTTTTATTTATTTTATTGCACGTATTTGAATTTTATTGATCACAGTTTCCCGTGTTTGAGTCCGTTTGCCTCCACCAATCATAAGGTACATATAATTTTAATATTGGGATTAATTTTCTTAATAGTTGAACGCTATTTGCACATTGGCGAAAGTTGTCCACCATCTGTGTTTATTAGGTAAGCAAATTGTCTATTATCATACCGAAAATTGTAGTATTACTGTCGTGCCGTATGCGGGACGCGGAGCGGAGACAGAGGAGCGGCAGTCAGGAAATCGGGGAACACGGGGTTTTAAAAAACAGGGCAGGCAAGAAAACACGCAGTGATATTACAATGACCGGACTGGGGAAACAAACTGAAACGCGGACTTAATACATAGAACTAATGACAACAACCAGAAACAGCTGATCACACTGGGATTCCACACGGCGTTAACGAGGGGGCGTGGCACACGGAAGGAACGGACGATCGGGGCAGGACAATTACTATCTGAAACTGCATGATCATCAAATCAAAGCAAACTTGTCGGTTTTTGAAAATTTTCTTGTGGTACTGGAAAAGTTTTGGAAAAGTCATGGAAATTTATTCTGGCAGAACTGGGGGAGCCCTATTCAATGCGAATCTAGCACAAATCTATTGGCGCTTTTCCACTGCATAGTACGGCACAGCACGGTTCAGTACAGCTCACCTTGGTTTGGCTCAGTTCGGCTCGGTTTGCATTTCGACTGCAGTTTAGTGCCGCTTTAGAGTGGGCGGGATTATTCACGTGTCGTTATAGTTGCGCCGCCTCTATTGCCGTGACATCATCGTAAATGCGCCACAAACAAACACACAACAATGGAGCATATCGACGGAATGGTGTTCTTCATTTTCGGCATGTGGATGTTTTTAACAGCAAGACCATTTTTAGTTAAAACAAAATGGTGCGTCCGAACCTTCGCTGGCTGTGCTAAAAATCTAGCGGGTCTGTTGTGTCTCGTGTCGCAAGTTCAGTGACGCAGTAATGACGATTTTCTCCGGCCAATCAGTGACCAGTAGAGTTTACACGTCACGTTTTGGTAACGGTTCGGCGCGCTTGGAACCTCGGCTGAGGTGGTACTAAAAAAAGGACCAGGTACCAGGTACTGTTCCCAGTGGAAAACCCCCCAAAAGTGAGCTGAACTGAACCGTGTCGTGCCGTACTATGCAGTGGAAAAGCGCCATTAGTCATCTATGGGTTACAGTGTCACAAAGGAAACTTCATTGGTAGGTTCCATGGCAATACAGGCTCACTGGTGTTTTTTTTTTTTTTTTTCCTCGGGTCGGGTTTTGGGTCACGCGTATTTTTGCGGGTTGGGCGGGGCGGTTTGGATCTCCTGACGGGGTGGTTTGGGGCGGGTGTTAAAAAAAGCCGACCCGCGCAACTCTAGTACATACTACTAGATACTAATATAATTATTATTACTATATGCAATAAATCAGTATTTTACAGCAAAGCAAGTAATTATAATATAGTTTTCCATTTGCTATCTACGTGAAGCGGCACCTGATCCAGTCTGCAGATAAACTATCATATCAACATCTACAAGGTTGCATTATTCTTAGGTCATATTGTCCTGTTTATTGATGATACCACAGCATCCATATGTGTCAGAAGCCACAGAGAAACAACAATGTTCATCTCCCTGGGTCCATATGTTCATTATGGGTCCTGAGGAATGAGAATAATATATTCTAAACTTTAAATGCTGCTCATTTCACTTAGCAAACACTTCAAGAACCATGTTAACATCCAAAAAAAAAAATCATCAGCAAATCAACCAATGCAGACATACCAGGCCAACGCAACTCAAGGATACAGTTGAAAAACGACTAAAACTCTATGCCACCAACATACATCAGGGTTGAAGCACTCCTTTCTGCAAATAATTTTGTGCTGGTACACAGCTGAGGTGCACAGTGCTGATTCTGATTATCAGGGCTACACAAATGTCCCATTTTCACCCTAGTCAACAAAGCTAGGCCCCCTGGAGCAAAACTGGGTACTCTACCAAAGACCATTTAAAAAACCTGACCAAAGATTAATGGATATCACCGGAAAACTGGCAGGATTTATTTTAGCCATGCATATTATGAGAAGCAATTTTGTTTTGTCACAGTTAACCATGATAACACCTTTTGTGTTTTAGTTTCAACTGAAGAAACCATGTAAAGTCAATAGCAATGCCAGTAAAACTAGGCCAAAGCAATGTCTAAGCTCTCCTTTACTGTGTGGGTTTGTTGGTGTGTCTTCATCAGACACAGCCGGCTAAAGCTCTTCCCACAGTCTGGACACTGGAACGGCTTCTCCCCAGTGTGAATCCGCATGTGTCTCTTCAGCGGAGTTGAGTGTGAGAAGCTTTTTGAGCACACAATACATTGGTACGGCCGCTCTCCCGTGTGAGTTCGCCGGTGAACAGTTAGGTAGCACGACTGGGTGAAACTCTTCCCACACAATGAGCACTGATATGGACGTTCTCCTGTGTGGTACCGCTGGTGGATCAACAGTTCTCCCACGGAAAGGAAAGTCTTACCGCACTGGGAGCACAGGTGTGGTCTCTCCCCAGTGTGAATTAGCTTATGTCTAGACAAGCCTGTTCTATTGGTGAAAGTCTTCTTGCAGTGAGGGCAGCGGTACGGGCACTCCCCCGTATGAGTGTGCCGATGTTTTTTAAGGGCAGCCTCCATCTTGAAACCCTTGCCACACTGGGAACAAAGGTAAGGTCTCTCTTCTGTGTGACATTTTTGGTGCTTTGAAAGCTCTCCCTGGGAAAGGAAACTCTTTCCACATTGGGAGCAAAGGTACGGTCTCTCCCCTGTGTGGATCCGCTGGTGTCTAGTCAATACTGACAGTCGAGTAAAGGTCTTCTGACAGTGAGAGCACTGAAAGGGGCGCTCACCGGCATGGCAGTGCTGGTGTTTTGTTAGTGTCGCTAACTGGGTGAAGCTCTTCTGGCACTGGGAGCAGTTAAAAAGACCTTCTCCTTCGTGAGCTCTCTGGTGGTGCAGTCTCAGCGACCCCAATTCTGTGAAGTTCTTCCCACACTGGGAGCACTGGAAAGGCCGCTCTCCCGTGTGTGTCCGATTGTGCCGGGTGAGGTCCCACGATGTTTTGAAACTCTTGCCGCACAGGGAGCACTGGTGAGGGCGTTCCTCAGTGTGGTTAAGGAGCTGGTGCCTCCTGACATCCGAGGCACGACTGTAGGTTTTGTCACAAAGGGCGCACTTATGGGGTCGCTTTACCGCATGAGTCTGCTTGTGTCTAGCCAGGTCTGACGAGAACTGGTAGCTCCTGTCGCACAGGGAGCAGTGGAAGGGCCACTCCTTCTTGTGCTTCTGCTTGTGATGCATTCGTAGGGAACCCAGCTGCGTGAAGCTCTTCCCGCACTGGGAGCACTGGAACGGTCGCTCCCCAGTATGTGTCCGTCGGTGCCTTGTCAGGTCCCACGAATTCTGGAAACTCTTTTTGCACTGGGAGCACTGGAATGGCCGCTCACCCGTGTGAGTCCGATGGTGTCTCATTAAGTCTGATCGAGACCTGAAGGTCTTCCGACACTGGAGGCAGATGTGGGCTCCTGACTGGTCGGCTGTAGTGGGTGGCTGGTCTTCCCCATCCTCAGTGGGACATACAGACTTTCCATCTCCTTCTGGTTGGGTTTTCAAGAGGTCCACTACAGAATGGGAAGAGAACCAATCAAATCCTGTTTGGGTACTGCCATGACACACAAGTCTCAAATACAGAGACTAAGCAACCTAGCATCTGTAGCACACCTGTGATTACACTTCTAAGAAAAGATTTCAGGAAGCCACAAATAAATATTAACACTATATCAGAAATCCCTTTTAAATTGATTTTCCTTCATCATTTGGTAATCTATAACCTGCAAAAAGCAATAGATTTGTTCAAATAAAGTTTGTACATTGTAAGGTAAAGTTCACATTGTTAATTCTAACACTGGCATTACCTGCATGTTGTTCCTCAGCTGGGGTGACCAGAGCTCGACCATGAGAATCAGCAATGTTCCTGCAAAAAATGGGGACAACAGAAGTGTTGGACAGAGACTGTGCTGCACTCACATGACAGCATGCCACAGATCACTCAGCACTTACTCCTTCTCTGACAGTGCTGGCTTCCCTGTCAGAGCAGCCCGAAAGCGGCTACTGGTCTTCCTTTCACGCACCGCCCGCCGTCCCTTCCATTTCTGTGCCGTCCTGTTGCGGCTCCTCTGAGAGCTGACTGGTTGCTCCCCGTTACCAGCGGTGGGGTGCACTGGCGTCAACACGGGCAGAGAGGTGTCGGCGACAGCAAGCCGCTGGATCAGCACTGTAGGCCTCTGGAGCAGACAGGTAGTAACCAGCTGTAACTGGCCACCGTCTTCCTGTCCATGCGCAGATTCTTTTCCAGGATCCAGCTCTTTTTCACACCGGTAGGTTTGGCCATTTCCATCCCCCTCCTTGTGTTCACCCGTGTTGTGTTCTTGTCTCTCCCTAATTAGTGCCTCATCTTCAGCCATTATGTTCTCCTTTCTTTCTTGGCTTTTCCTTCCATGTGTAGAATCTCCACATTCCGGCTCCACCTTTCCACACTCCCAACTCCCGGGATTTGCCTCTGGACATTCTGACTGTACTTCTACACTTCTCGGCTCTACCTCTGTACAATCTTCAGTCCTAGGATTTGCTTCTGCACATTCTTGACCCACCTCTCCATTACTGGACTGTACCATCTCACATTCTGGCCCCACCTGTTCTTGTACAGCCTGTGCCATTTCATACACTGACCCCACCTCTCCACCTCTAAGCCCTTGCTCCGTAGATTCAAACTCCACCTCCCCATATTCAGCGTCCAACTCTCCAACTTGTGCCTCTCCACCTCCACTGTCCATTGCAGCCTCTTTAGTCTCCTTTGTCAGTTCTCCTTCTTCCTCTTTCAAAGTGCTTAAATTAGACATTTCCTCTTCAACATCCCCACCTCCATTCCTACTTTCTATCCGACTCTCATCTGGGTCTAAACTCTTTCTCAGTTCCATCTCCAGATCTCTGTATATTGGGCTTTCTTCCACAGACACTATCTCAACCTCTTCACTGACATATGCAGGACTTAAGAAGTCCATAGAGTCATGCATATATTCTGATTGGCGGCTGGTTTCCTCATGAATGACAGCTGCCTTGCCAAGGGGGAGGAGGGATAGTGAGGACAGGATACAGTCACCTGTGAGAGGAGTGGTTGCTGGGAGGAAAAAACAAAAACAAATGTGAAACTGAAAGACTACTTCCAAATATATTTGTGGGAGAAACAGGACTTAAAAATCCATGGTGGGTGGGCGTCTCTTTGTGCCCTGTCAGTCACTGCCAGGAGCTTTCCAGCCAAATTACGTAAGCAATGAAAGTTGTGTTTAACAATTAACTCACAGTACAGGATAAAATCACCCATAGTGGCTCTGAAAGTCTCATTTCTCCAGTTGATACTACTAATAATACAAGTCAATCATATTAAACAAATAAATAACCAAAATTGAATCAATCTAACATCTAACAAGTAAAATGGGTGAGTCCCTTGTTCTCCAAATCAATTCAAATTTTACATATTATATGCCACATTTTTAAATTAAAAGGATTTAAGTTCCAACACTGCTAATCATGCCACAGAGTACCTATATTAAGAGTGGATCCAGCAACACAGAAACACCTACCATGTGTGACCAGCTGTCCAAGACATTTGTAGTGCTGTAGGAGGGTCCTCAGCTGCTCTGGGGGAGAGTTAGACTGCACACACTCCTCCAGGAGTGAGGGGGCAGCGGTGAACAAGGACACCAACTTAGGGAAAGAAGCAGAATAATAAAACGTCGTCCCTTCAACTCCAAACATGCATAAAAGCATGAAAATGAACTAACTGCTCAGAAAGCTAAATGACCAAATTCTCAAAGTGCTTTCATTAGCAAAGGCAGTCTGATATTACCTGTTCGAGGTCTGGTACTGGGAGAAGCTGCTCCAGCCTGGAGAGGAGCTCCCACACCAGGTCCTCCAGGGCTTTGTCATACTTGGGTCCATACTCCACTGGGAACACCTCCTGATGGAGTGAGACAGTGATATCTGTACTGTTCTAACCAACACTTCAGCAATAAAGATCAGTGGTGGCAAAAAATAGGTTCTGAAATCCCAATGATTATCATGACCTGCCAATTCGTACTGCTGCCAAATGGGTGACTAATGGCGTTTGGTACCATTGCCAATAAAAGTAGATGCTCCTTACATTGCCTCATGGTTTGCAATGATTAGCAGAAGACGGAGAAAGACGTCACCTTGAAAAAGTAATCTCTTGCGGCCGAGTCCGTTAACAGGATTTGGACCATCTCTAGGAAGTTTACTCTTGACACTTCCACCTCTGAGTCGCTTGCCTGAATCAGAGCACAGCATGCAAACAGCTCAAAACTATGATTAACTGGAATCATAATTACACAAAGAAACTCAGCCCATGTAGTAAATAACTCACTATTGCAGACCAAAGTGTCTATGTATACATACATATGTATGCCTTAGTTTGGGCCTGTCTTATTTGTATCAATATTTGCAGAATGATTTCAAAAAGTTGAAAAGGGATGGAAATTTTCCAGAAACTTTCAAACGAAAGTTAGGATGAGGAATTTTGGAAATATTGAACTGCACAGGAGCTGTCAGATAAGGCAGTGTATTTTGATGGTGTTTTTACGCACACATAATTACTCAAGCATTTGGTTACACAATGATATCACTATTAATGCTTTTAAGATGTTTTTTTCCAACTACATTTAAAGTTCCCTGTTATAGGCTAACCTGCAATTTTTCAAATTTCCCGTTAATTCCCATGGAAAGTGTTCAACTTTGAAAATTCCCAGAATTTTGCAACACTAGGAATACAGGTACATTTATGCTGCAAACAAAACACTGATTAAACCTAAAAACCAGTACTGCTGGGAAAGTTGTAGTAAAACAAAACTAAAGTTACATAAGAGCTGGGCTTGTGCCCTGTGCAGCCTGGAATATGCTCACAGGAACCCTGTACTGGACAGGCAGCTATGGAAGATGGCTGGATGGATAAGGGTAGGAATGCTGCAAACAACTGTGGACTCTGAGTATACAAATCCTTATATTACCTGCCTTTGGACCAGTACAGCTGATTTTAATGGTAATATTAAAGATAGGCAGTTGGTTAAAGGTGACTATTATAAATGCCTGAACATTACAGCTAAACGGCGATTCATCTTCAATGCTTGGCTGAGCCAGTGGTGGTATGGTTTGTTATGTACATGCTCAACAAGCATGGAAAATTTTAAATGCTGGAGTTTAGTAGTAAGGGAGGAATGAATCTTAACCTGTAACCAACTCCTTCATCTAAGATATTAAATAAAACAACCTGAATCTAGCTCTGCTGTTGCACTCCTGATTTTAAGCAACAAACATTACCCATATATGTTTTTTTTTTATTATTATGGAGATTGTCCCATAGCCTATAACAGTCCTGAGGTGGCTGTTTAGCAGTGGAGATACAGGCCCTTACACCTGGGTGCTCATGGGCTCCAGCATGGCGGCTTATCCTCTCCAGGTGGGGCCCGATGCATTGGCAGTCTGCAGGATCCTCACCTCGGCAGATCTCAAGAACCAGCTGAAACAGAAACAGGACCCATTTCACCACCTTCACCTCACCCAGAAACTCCACCCACTACCCATATTATTCACCATTCCCTCACACATATTCCCTGTAAGGCAGCAGCATTAAGCCTGAATCCAGAACAGAAGATAATAACATGCCATCAAACAGCACTAACCTTTCACCCTCTCTCTTTACTCACCCTTGCACGCAGTCCCAAAATGAGCTGCGCTCTTTGTCTGTAGCTCAGCAGCTCTGGGACAGTCTCTGTGACCAAGGAGACAAACTCCTCCAGCTTCCCGTAATGCATCACATCTCTTCTCTGAGCTACCTGCCACATGGCAGCAGACAGCAGCCGTAAGGGCGGAACCAGAAGCCGCATTGAGGAAAGCGGGAGAAAGGGATCTAAAAAAAAGACTATCAGCATTAGCTTGGCCACATGCAACATTTTTACCACAAACTTAGAGAAATAACACTTCAAGCTACACACTGAAGACATACAAATATATGACCATTCAGAAGCAAAATACAGCAATCAAATTATTCCAGTCACTTTTCAAACTTTCAGGAAATCAAGTATATGAATTATACTATGGTAAGTTGCAAGTTTTTTATAAAACTATTTCACAAGCATTTTCTCAATAGTCGATAGACCCAAACTTTTGGAACGTGGCGGGCACTTGAAAGTTGAAAGCTAAATTCCGCTAACAATGTTAGGCTTTTCACCGTCATGTAATTTATTTATGTTTATAATTTAGTTATATTTCATCTTCAATAGAGAAGTGGCTTATGCTGGTCCTGCTTATCACCGCAGTCTCAAAATTGCAGTTACTACCCATGTAGCCATTCCTGGGTTAAGCTTCGACATTTAATGTCATTAACCATACCGGTAACAACTACGCGATTTTTTCATTAAACCGCTTTCCAAAGTTGAAAAAATGATTTGGCTTCTGACACCGTTATATTCCCCACTTATATTACCAACTTATAGGGCAGTCTGAAAAAGTACCAGTCATGAATTTATACAGTACGTACAGTGGCCGAAGCTAACCAAGTAACGGAGTAACAGCTTAAATCTGTTTTAAAAGTTAACTCGCCACATACCTACGATGTCCGACATTGAGGCACTGGGAACTTCCATTATAAGAGGGACTTTAATAATGCCTGGTGAGATACAAAAAAAAAATATTTATTCAAAACAGAAAGCAACTCTAATGCTAACAGCAACGAATGTGAATGAGGCCATCTTTAAGTCGAAGGTTTTACTTCCGGTGTTAAGTACTTTTCAAAATAAAAGCTTTTAGTCGATGATTCATTCCTCTGTAACGGTAAAATCTAATAGAATACATTACCTCATTTACACGATGTTATTATAACGTCAGGTCTTTTTCATATCAGTAAATTGGTACCGTCGAATTCCGTTTCCTAGTTTTGGTTTAAAGATCATGCAGTTTATAATTCACAGTTATATTTAAACTTTTTTTTCTGTGGGAACCCAATTTAAGGATTACACATCCTCATTTTAATAACAATTTTCACTTGACCACATAAATTCACATAAAAAAAAAGTGTAAACTAAAAAAAATCCAATCTTTCAGATACATTTGGAGTAAAGCATACAGCTTGGGCAAAGATCAATCATTTGCTTCAGTTATGAAGACTTCACTCTAGCCAGTGCTGTCTCTTTTAAATGAATGCCACGTGGAGACATGCTACAGAAAAAATATTTTCCCTAAGTTTTGCTGACACAATTTTCCCTGCTAGTTATCAATTTGCAAATGTGCAGGTTACACTTGGAGTTCCTGAGAATACAAGTCATCTATAAAAGTGATTTTATCCAGATTCAATAAATATCCATACAGATCTTATACTTCCCACAAAGTAATATTACAGTGAATGCATAGAATGCAATGCAAAGCATTTCACACCTCAACTGCCAGCCCCTGTATGATTTGGCTGCTGCATCTTCAAAAGACACAATTTCTGGAAACTCCTCCCACAATCCCAGCACTGGAACGGCTTTTCCCTCATGTGAATCTGCATGTGTCTCTACAGGTGAGTGGAGTCAGAGAAATTTCTTTTACAGTAGTGTTGTAGTCAAGACCGCCTAAACCGAGACCAA